TTGCTCCCATCTCGTCAGTCCAATCCACTTTCAGCACAACTGTCAAGACTCTTGAAGGCAAAATGCTTTGTTCAAGTCATTAATACTTCTCACTCTTGCCCCCAACCCACAGAAACAAACAACAGCAACAATAAACTCTCCAACTCTGCCTGCATACATGGTTCCATTTAATTTTTTTTTTTTTTTTTTTTTTGATACTGGGATGGAACCCAGGGACACTTAACCACTGAGCCATATCCCCACCCCTTTTTATTTTTTTATTTAGAGACAGAGTCTTGCTAAGTTGCTGAAGGCCTCACCACAGTGCTGAGACAGGCCTTGAACTTGCGATCCTCTTCCCTGAGCCTCCCCAGTGGCTGGGATTGCAGGCATGCACCAGTGCACCCAGCTCAACTTAGCCATCTTTTGACTTCACAGCAATGGGAACATGATAGGCACTCAGTAGAAACGGTGCTTAGAATTCTGAATTAGGATCTTTTCCCAGGATAGTGAGACACAGTCCAGTTCTCTTCTGATGTTGGGCACTGACAGTGAGTTCCAGCTCCCAGTGGGTCACATGACCAGCAGGGGAACACCAGCCCTCCACAGAGTCCTGGCTGCTGAGCTGTGCTGTTCAGTGGATCAGGTGGATTCAATGAATTTTCCACTTAGGAAAGTTTCAACTGATGAAGGGTTTGTTGGGACCAAAGCCCATTATGAGTTAAGGAATGTGTGCACGTATCTCCTCTGGTTTGCACCCATAAGCCCCCATGAGTGGGTAGTCCCAGGGCTATTTCCTATTGGACTCATTTACTCCCAGGTCCAGCTGAAGAGAGGTACTGACCCTTGCCTCCACGTGTTCCGAAACCTCTTGCCCTTGGATTGTGCTCCTGGGTTTCACGTTCTCTGACTTGTTGTAGCTTGGATCCTGCTAGTCCTTCCCACAGTTCTCAGCCAGATGTCCCCTCTTCCTCCTCTTCCGTGTTCCTGTGGCTCCTGGTATTTTTTAATGACATTTGATTACTTTCCAGCTTATGTTCTTACAACATGGACGCACAGCTCATTTCCACTCATTAAGTATAAACCCCACGCAGGCTGAGGCTTGGCTTGTGTGGCTGCTTTTCCCAGCAGGACCGGTGCTGTGTTAGAGGAAATATTTGTTCAATCAAAGAAGAAATAAAAACCAGCAGAAGGAATGTTTCTATTTTCCCTGCTCCTCACCACTGCCTCACAGGGCGCTAGGTGAGGTGTTTGGGGGCGAGAGGGCAGGAAGGAGAGAACAGCTCCCATCCTCACAGGTGACTAATGCTTTCCAAAGGAAGTGAAAGATTTGCAGTCATTACTACTCTGCAAAGCTTTATTTTCCCACTTCGGGGCCAGCCCTCCGATTTTGCAATCTGAAAAATAACAAAAAGCAAGCAGTATCTGGATGGCAGTCCCCACGGTCTCCGGGGCTATTTTTAGGTCATTGTAACATGGTTTTAGCAGTGAAATGCTTCTCCAGCTCAGAGTTGCTGCAGTTTTTCTCTGACTCATGGCTGTTTCTCACGCTCCCTGTGCCCACAGCCCGTGTTTTTACCTCATTCCTACTCCACCGTTTCCCTCATTTGACCATCCAAATCGGCACACCTGACAGCTGGCTCATTGCCACCGCCCAGCAGCGTCTCCATGGGTATCCACGGTGTGGGGGACTTGCTGATGGTTGTCTGTGGCCACAAGGGCCCATGGGCCCCTGCAAGATGTGAAAAGGTGGAGATGGCAGGCAAAAAAGAGTCGAAGGTCCCCTAACCAGAGAATGGACAGAGATGGGGAAATTTCCCCCAACGGACCAGCATAAAATGACCTCAAATAAGCTGATTTGATTTATTCTAGCAAAAATGGAGCAGGATGTACCAAGTGCTGATTTAGTACTTCTCATCAATAGCAAGGACCAAATCATCCCAGCTTCCCAGCAGCAGGGCCCACCCTGCTGGCCCCAGGGCTCCATCCCTCCAATCGCTGGCTCCATTACCATTACTTTAGTGTCCCTCCAAGCACAGAACTGGGAACAAAAGCATCAAGAACGGTTTTTAGGCTGCAGAGTCTGTTCTGGCTGCCCAGCCACCAGCACTTAGCTGGGTGGTTTTGCACATGCTGGGAGCTGAACAAGTGCCTGGCCCTGGGAATGCAGTGGGTAGAGAACTGAGTCTGGAGATAGGAGACCTATCGTTTACGTTGACCCAGATCCCAGCTTTGCGCGTCCCCCCACCTCTGCCGTATGACCTTGGAGCTCCAATTTTTCAATGTCAAGTGCATTTAGTCAGATTTACATTTCTGTGACCAAAATACTGGACAAGAATAACTTAGAGGAAGGAAAATTATTTTGGTTCATGGTTCCAGAGGTTGAGCCCATACTTGGCTGAGTCCATTGCTCTGGGCCCAGAGTGAGGCAGAACATCATGGTGGCAGGAGAGATGGAGGAAGGCTGCTTCCTTCATGGTAGCCAGGAAGCAGAGGGGAGAAAAGGGGACCACAGCGAAGATGTACCCTTCCAGGGTATGCTCCCAGGGACCCACTCCCTCCAGCCATGCCCCAGCTTTGTACACTTATCACCCAGTCAGTCCACTAAAACTGAGATGGACTCTTTAGGGTACCACTCTCTGTCCGATCATCTTACCTCTGAACACTTCTGCATTAACACAGGAGCTTTTAAGGGACACCTCATATCCAAACCACAACGCCAGGAGATCTCTAAGTCACCCGCTGCCATTCACACACTCTGCTTTTATTTGTGTTGGTCAATATTGTTATCTGTTACTACCATCAGCCCCCCTGCAGTTCCACAAACGCCAACGTTGTATCCACTTTATTCCTCTTCAGTCTAATTTCCACACTTCAGCCAGAATCATCCAACTATTTTTTCTTATGTAAACCACAACATTTAACTTCTCTTCTTAATAGTTTAAAAGTCCAAATCCATTGTTGTGACTCATGACCTAGCTTTGCCCTGTCCCCCAATTCAGCTGCACCCCCTGATTCCCTGGCCCTACGGAGCTGTTCTTCCCTCTGTCTGAAGGTCTTTCCATGTCTCTTATGACTTATTCCTACTCCCTCTTGGGTCTCAGTTAGAAAAACCGTTCCCTTTAGAAAACCATTCCTGAGCATACCTGTGCACCCAGGGCTGGTGCGGTCTTACCACTCTGCCTTCCAACTGTCTGTTCACACTCCTCTTCCCGAGACAGTCCCTAAACACAGCAGACCACCTGTATCTGGTCACATCCTTGGCATCAGCACAACATGGACAAATAACTGAATGGACATTGGAGGTGCTCACACCCCATTCCCCCATTGCATCTTCTTCCCCAAACCCCTGATCCTCTGCATCATAGGAACTTGTGCCCAGGTACTGACAAGCCAAGACTCCCTGGGCACTGCTTTTCATCATTATGGCCACTACAATAAGTGCTCTTCAGGCCTCCAAGAGGAAAAGAAAATCAAGGTTGGATCTGTGAGTCGATGATCAACTTTCAAATCCTTAGGTAGAAAAAGGTAGTGTGCTAAAGGTGCTTAACTTAAAACTCCAAAAATTGCACTTGGTCCAAAAAAAAAATTGAAGTCTACAAAAGATAGAATGTACAAACGGATGCTTTCCACTCTCATTATCTTCAGCACATAAAATAGAGAGAAATATCTTTATGTGCATATACTCTAATCTCAATCCAGGTCCCCTCTATATTGAAGAATTTATTCCATGGTGTTAAGTCACATATAACAACAATAAGGCATGTACCCTACCACAGTCCAGTCTTATTCTATGGTGAGACATTGCTATGGATCACACAAGTTTTTCTCTGCAGAATCCATGAACACAGTGCTGGTCCTCAGCCTAAGCCCTGCTCTCTAAAAATGTCCTTTGTTAAAATGCAAAGGCTCCCAAGGCTGAAAAGCAGTCAAAACACTGGGGTCTGGAGGTAGATTTCCTTAGCAAGTGTTTTTGTTAAGATGAAAGAGCAAGAAAGACTTTGGGCATCCCTGGAAAAGAGCCATGGAAAGTAGACAGGAACGTTAGGGAGAAACCAGCACCTGAGTTATGACTGCCAAGCTTATTTGCTCTAAAGCAAAGTCTGCGGAAATCCACCAGGTAGGCGCTGTTGGAACCCGCGTTTTGGGGCATAGGCTCTCCCCCTCTTTCTCCTGCTTCTGCTCTCGAAGCTTCCATCCCTGACAGAACTGCACTGGATGAACTCACCCCCTGTACAGGGAATGAGAGGTTCTCCAGGTGAGAAGAGCTTATGCGAGCCCAGAGAGGAACAGGATCGTTCTCCAGTCTGCAGGTCTCCTATTTGGTGTGGTCCCTCCGGCAGGAGCTTGCAGCTGGATGGGAAGAGCAGCAAGGGAGCTTGCCTGTCACTAGGTGGAGGTCAGGCACATTCCCTGATTACAGACTGGGGCAGCATTTCTGAGTGCTGGTGTCGCCAGGTGGCTGAATGATGAAATCTAGGCTAGCTACTTGATTCTCCCCTGCCTCCCGTGAGGCCATTCTGCAGGACCCTGGGCAATCGTCCCAGGCCCTCCAGGTGCTCCGATGGCAGATGTGGATGCAAATAAGCCCATCAGGACCAGGCCCCAGGAAGGGCCAAAACACACTCCACCTGTCAAATGCCTTTTTAAGATGGAAAGTATTTAGAGGCCTCAGATCATTCAGCCACCCAAATAGTTTAATTCCAAATGGAACCAAAGACAAACATTTTCTTGGGAAAGCAACATGTGTGGCTTTGGAAAGATTAATTTTTCATAAGGGAGTGAGGGGAAGTCGTGACTTGCCATGTTTGCGCTCACACCTGCACATTCATTCCTATGCACGTGAGCATGCCACAGGTGTTGAAATCAAGCGACAAGTATTCGTCTTACCTGGAAGCTTAAACATGGTCAAACCCCCTTTAAACCAACATAGAGAGACTCTGACAGAATGGTATGCTTTTGTGGAATATTCCAGAAGGTCCTGAGCAAGCGTAAGGTGACTTTCTCTGTGCAGTTCTTACCTGGCAATGTAAGCAACAGTGCCAGCAGCCAACAACGTGATTCCTGTCTTCTTGGATGGATAGTGATGTGGCCTGAGGATGACTTCAAGCAGCGAGAAGGGCAATATGAACGTGTGCTGGAGGAGAAAAGACGGCAGATCATGAGGGTGTCCTGGCTGCCCAAGGTACCCATGATTCTCTCCTCCTTCTCCAGTCTGCCCACTCGCACACTGAAGGCTGGACTTTCCACAGCTGGTTTAAATCACGCTCCTTGGGGGCCCAAGGACCTACAGTGTCTCCCTATTCGCTACCATATTGATCTAAACTCCTCTGTCTGGCTACCAAGGCTCTTTATAATGTGTCATCAACCTTAATGGCCCTGCTCACTGCCCACTGCCACTGCCATCCTCTTCTAACACACATGTGCAAACATACACATGTGTGCACACATGCACACACCTATACATGAAAACACAAGCATGCACACACTCATACATTCTTTCAAATATACAGCGTCCCATGCACATACTCTCTCTCTCTCTCTCTCTCTCTCACACACACACACACACACACACACACACATTCAACCTCCACAGGAACTAGGCCTCATTCTCCATTGTACTTAGCCTATTTCCCCCACTTCCAACAGTGCTCCGGGTAGGACTAAACTCAGTCACATGTTGCTACATGCAACAGGGGACACAGAGGGGTAAGACATGTTCCCTGTCCCCAGAGCTTGTGGATCTGCACCCCAAGTGTCAGACTGCACGGCGCAGGGTATGATGGTAGAACTGGGTGACCCTCTCTCCGTGTGGACCTTGTCTTCTCTCTCTGTTTTCTGATCCTCTCTGTTCTTTGTGGCCAACGCGATCTCCCAGGATGATGCCTCTGAATTCTCCCCATTCTAGTTTCTCTCACTCAGTTCTGCTGCCATGATATCCTGCACCCTGCAGTCTGGCACTCGGGTTGCAGATCCACAAGTTCTGGGGACAGGAAACACATCTTACCTCTCTGTATCCCCCATTGCACGCAGCACCGTGTGACTGAGCTCAATCCTGCCAAGGGCGCTAGGTTCTGTGGGGTGTGCATACACCTCCCTGGGTAACCTTCCCTGCATCACCCCTAGTTATAACCATCTGTTTTCTCACATCTTCCAAACTCTTAAAACTAGACTTGTAAAAATGACATAAGCCAGGGATCCACCTTAGGAGGGGTGGTGTTTGTGGAGACTACTGAAGCTCACCCCTTCTTGGCTTTGGAAACTCATCTGGGAAGGGTCACTGGAGACATTGCAATGCCCTTTCATTTACTGAAAACATGCACAAACCCCTCTGACCACATTCTGTACTTATTGGCAATTTCTAATCGTGTTATAACGTTCTGTTTTTCAGAGTTGCGGTTATTATTCCTCTTTCATTCCTGCACCCCAATTTCCACAGTCTTGGCAGCTTCTTGCATATAAAGCATCTGCTTTCCAGCTCCATTCCACTCCTGATCCTGAGCCTCCAGGTAGCTGGCCTGATCACGGCAGTGCTTAGAGCTCGGGAATGTCACTGGGCTCCCACTCCACGTGTTTGGAACAACAGTCCTCGGCTCCAGGCACTCTTTACCAGCAGGTGCTCAGGAGGCATTCCCAAGAGGGAGTAGGTTCCTCCCAGCCCAGACAAGCTAGCTAGGGCACCGTTAGGTCATCAATATGACCCTCTGATGACAAGAAATGTGACAAGTTTTGATGGGGCAGGGGTGGGGTAAGAAAAATTAATTCTTGGGGGTAGAGAAGGGGTGGCCATCACTGGGTAGAGAAGACTTCCTGGAGGGTGACACAGAACAACTGGGACCCCCATTTTGGTAACAAATCCCAGTGGGACAACATTGCTGACAAACCATGGCTGTTCTGCCCGAGCTTGGTCCCAAACACGTCGATCATTGGATGTGCCAGTGGAACAATGTCCAGGCCAACTCTTTGTGTCCTTCTTTGGTCTGAGTTTAGGCTGCTGCTCATCTGTGTCCTCCTCCAACAAAGGAGCACCGGTGTTTGAGGACACAAGCTCCCAAACCTAACCTCGGGCTAGTTACTAGCTACCTCCGACCTTCCTCCGTCCTTCAGCTTCAGGGCGGTGCTATGAGGACCGGGGCACAGGCCTGCCAAGTACTTAGTCATGGGTCCCGTGAGAGCCTCCAGTGACATTCACTGTGGATGTCACTATTATCAGTGTGACTGCCATTCTGCATCTCACTGGTGGGCCCAGGGGGTCAAGGCCAAGGGTCTGGGATAGTGTCTGTCCAGGTGGCTGGGTGTCCGCTGACCTGTGGTTTGCAAGAGGCGGCCATGTGCACAATGCTGGACTGTGGGACTGTCCTCCTGGGCAGTCGTGGGGGCTTCCTCCCATGGGGGTCGAGGGCACTTCAGTGACTGATTTCCATGCTCCGTTTATCCAGGGGCCACCCTCAAGAGGCGAGAGACAGCCATCTGCCTCTCTGCCGGCGTGCACTCTCTGCAGCCAGAAGGAAGCCTCGGCTATTAAGAGCCATTAACAGGCCCATTATGCTGACCACTGATCTGACAGATTTTATTAACCTCGCCCACAATCAGCAGCTCCCTGTTCTCGACATTAATGATCATCTGGAACAGGATTCCTGTGGAATAATGTAGCGTGTTTGCTTTAGGAGCAAATGAGTCTGTGGTGATTAATGCTTTTACAATAAACAACTTGGGAATGCATGGCTGGTCACCTCTTCAAGGAGTCTGCCCTTTGTATGTGACATTCAATTGGATTTCCAAATGAATTCCCCCTGACGGCTTCTGGGAAATGGACTTCGGTGATGTCATTAGTGATGGGCCATAGGCGGTGGCTTCCCACTAGCTGGAAGGTTTTTAGAAGATCCACATTTTCTGGTGGGGGCAGGGTGGGCCTGGGAGACAGGAAGACCCCATTCTGTGAACTTTCTAAATATTGAGCTGCCGCAAGGTGCCAAGAAGGACCGAGGAACCTCCCGGAATTTCAAATGTACTTGAATTTCCACCACACATTGACCTCAGTTATAGAACCTGTGTTAGATAGCATGTTATATTCCAAAAAAGAGGAAGGGAAAAAAATCAGTAAGAGAAAAATCAAATATGCTTTCTGCTTCCAAAAAATCTAATAATTAGGCTGGGATTGACACAAATTAGCATGCTGCCAAAAATTACGGAAAACAGTGACTCACTCTGTATTTCAATTAACAGTTTCTCAGTTTCCCTTATAAATAGTGAAACTGACAAAAATTAATTATCTCAGAGGGGGTAAAATATTTCCTTTCAAAGTAAACAAAGCACCCAGGGCTGAAACAATAGCTCATGTAAACAGAGGAATGAAGTTAATGTTTTCTGTCAGCCGAGTCCTGTTTAGGGGGACTTTGCTCTAAGTGTCACCTTTCAAGTGCATTGGTCAGAAGGACAGCGTTGTTCTTTCCCCATCCATTACTCCCGCCATTGTCCCTTCCCCTTCCAGCCTTTGTATAATTTCCACTTCTATCTGAATATCTTGAAGACAGAACCATAAGCATTGATTTAAGTATTAGCAAAATAATTGCACTTGAGATTCTCTGGTGGCAAAATAGCCTTGGGAGAGCATTACTAAAATTCACCAGCCCATAAAACATTCTTAAAAGCTTGCATGACTGAGTGGCAACTTGGAAAGTAATGATAATGATTTAAGAACTTGTTTCTACTCACCCCATAGCAGGAGATAAGTAGCTTTTATAAACAATTTCCCTGCATATGAGGCCAAACTCGGAGTGGAAGCATTTGGCCTGACTCCTGAGAAAGGGGCAAGCCTTTGTCACCGAGATCATCTGTGGAGCCCCAAGTCATGGAGGCTCCAAAGACTGGATCCATAAAGAGGGGAGGGTCACACTCCTCCTAAGAGCACTTAATTTCCTCCAGTGAAAGAAATTCGAGAAGCTGACACATTTTACAAATCCCATGACAACATTTAAAACTATAATCTCTGCTTCCTTCCTCTGTTACATTTTACCACCAAGCTCTCTCTCTCTCTCTCTCTCGTGTTGAGTTGACTGCAATTGCCACACAGGCCAATCATCAAGGGGCTTCCTTCTTGAATGCCCTTCCATAATACTGCCCACTTCCTATGTGCCTCGATCTTCTTGTTCTTCCCTCTGTTCAGGCAACATGTGGACCTGAGAATTAGTTCCTGATACTGGCTTTCCCCAGCTGAAGTCCATTCCTTCAAGTCTCTAAGAGAATGCCTTTGGATTGTTCATGGTACTAACAGATAGATATTTTTAATGAAGTTTTAGTGTACTGACAAAATCTCATCTGGGCACACAGAGGAAGATTTGGGGCTCATAATACATTAGATGTATCTTCTTTTTAATTTAAAAGAAGAGCCATCACAGAGGCTCTGCAGAGGCCAATACATCGTTAAAACATCAATTACAGTTTCAAACACAAAGATAACAAACGTGGAATTGGAGGAAACACAATCTTGATAGAGTGTCATTATACCCAGGCTTCTTGTTACACTGCGGGAGCGTCCCTTAAGTTTAAAAACTGCATGCAGTAAAGACTTGGAATAATAGTTGCTCCTTAAATTCTAGCAATGAAAGCCCTGGTTTCCGTGCTACCACAAATAATCTCCCTCTTTCTACATTCCCCACACCTCACTTTCTGCCTCTAACTCCCTATAAGACAATGGCGAAGGTCTTGGACACACTTCCAGAAATTTTTATATCTGAAACAAACCATCTATATTCTCTATGTTCCTTATCCTGTAAAAGGCACAATTTCTATTTACGTGAATCTCATATAGGTAAATTCGGAAATGTACCCATGGGCCATAGAGCTTATATTTCTAGGGAGCTTCAAAACAAACACAAAAACGTCCATCTTTGCTACCTGCAGGAGTGTTTTTCAATCACAAGTTTTCAGATGACTGAATTTGCAAACAATTTCTATTCCACTTTCTAGGAACTCACTGGCAGCTCCACCACTGTAATTAAAGAGTCAGTGGTGAAATGCCTGGGGTGGAGGGAGAGGGAGAGAAACACCCACAGAAAGAGCCACAGGCAGGCTTCTCTTTGATCTCCAGATCCACCTAGGTGGGCTGAGCCAGGTTGCCCAGCCTGCTAGCAGAAG